TCAGATCCAGGAGGATGAACTCATTTATATTTTTTTTCACCAATTTTCATGCTGGTGTGGAGCCATGATGAACTCAAGCTTTCCCAGATTGAAACTCAGAGACTACGAAGAAAACATCACCGGGTTCTGGATCCCTCCAAACCTTCTTCTGGTGATTTCTGTCGGAGGAGCTCAGGTCGTGTGGTCTTCCATTGTTCCTCCAGATGTTCTCACTGTGGGCAGCTGCAGGCTCCATCAGGTCTGAAATGTTCTCCTGAGACCTTCACTGAGTTCCTCTGAAGGGTCTGAATTTTAAATAAAACATATTTAAAAATGAACCTAATTCAGAAACAAGCTGCTGAACTCAGTCATGATCACAGATTCTACCAGAAGCCATCCCAGAACCTTCAGAAGAACATTGAGGCCTGTTTGGATCTGAGATCCAGACCCAGTGAGGAGATAAGGAGAAGAAGGTGGAAAACAAAGGCTTTGGTGACACCATGAGCCCAGAGCAGCAGGCGGCATCCATCCAGGTCAGCTTCTGGTTCAGATCATCTGCACTGCAGCTTTAGGCTCATCACCAGAACATGGAACAGGATTTAAATTAATGGAAGATCTGCTGAAGGATCCTCCGGGTTTGATCCAGGTCTCCTGGTCCAGTTCTTCCTGATCCATTCCTGCAGAAGCAGCTGCTGCATTAAAGCTTCTAATGATGATTTTAATCGTCTTATTTTTGGGTCTCATTTTCCTTGAAGATAACAAAATAAATGCTTCAATATTAAACTGTGCAGTTTAATTCTGGAACTGATTTTCTATAACTGTAAACAAACCAGATTCCTCCTACCCATAGCTGATTGAACTGGTTTAACTGGTTTCCCTGTATTTATTGATTAGGTCCCAAACTGGTCGCTGAAACTTCTGTCTTAAATAAATGTTTTTCTGCTGCTGAGAACAGAAGGCTGATCCGACAGCGACCTCTGGTGGCCATCCTGATTACTCCATCAGTCATTTCCTCTATCAGGCTGCAGCGTTCCTCTCCTCCTCATGATGGCGCCACCTGCTAGCTCAGTGAATCTGGATCATTGTGACCGCAGTGAGTTCACTTCCTGATGACGTCAGCTGTAAATTACCCAGAGTTCATCATCAGATTCTGTTTCCTTCCCAGAGAAACAAAAACATCCAAACTTACTGGAACCTTCTCAGAAAAAAAACCCATAAACACATTTATAACCACCTTTAACCAGAGATCAGAACCGGGGCGAAACCAGATCCTCATTTGGCTCCAACAGAAGCGAGCCCCCACAGAACATCTCTGAAACAGTTCTGATCCAGGTCCGGATCATCAAAACCAAACCAAGAACAGTAAAACCAGTCATTAAAACCAGGTCTGGATCGTTAAAACCAGGTCCAGATGAATAAAACCAGGTCTAGATTATAGGAAAAGAGGTTAGAGGAATCGTAAAGCAGGTTGATGGGGATCAACTGATCCATGTTCTGGACTTTATGAACCTTCTTTAAATCCATATTGGACCTGTTCTGGTTCTGGTTCTAGGTCGAAATGGTTCTGGACCTGTATTGTTTCTGGTTCTGGATGGAACTGGTTCTGGACCTGATCTGGTTCTGGTTCTACGTCGATGTGGTTCTGGACCTGTTCTGGTCCTGGATGAAACTGGTTCTGGACCTGTATTGGTTCTGGTTCTGGATGGAACTGGTTCTGGACCTGTATTGGTTCTGGTTCTGGATGGAACTGGTTCTGGACCTGTATTGGTTCTGGTTCTGGGTGGAACTGGTTCTGGACTTGTTCTGGTCCTGGATGGAACTGGTTCTGGACCCGTCTTGGTTCTGGTCTGGGTGGAACTGGTTCTGGACCTGTTCTGGTCCTGAATGGAACTGGTTCTGGACTTGTATTGGTTCTGGTTCTGGGTGGAACTGGTTCTGGACCTGTTCTGGTTCTGG